GCTTTTAGTCAATCTGCCTCTGAGTATTTCCTTTCCGTGTATGAGTCAAATTTAATTAGATCTGTTCGTAACTAAATCCCTTAAGAGCCTGTTTTTTCAGTTTGACCGCATTTTCCTTATCTATCTTACCTTCTCAATTTCCATAATAGAAGAAGTGGTGAAAATGGTACAGGAAATACAAGTACTAGCCCCTAGGAGAGGACTCCCGAGAAATCAACTCCCTAGAAACTACTGCCACAGTATACCAGGCTCCACTGGTAGAGGATGATGATCTAGTTTTGCGAATGTTTAGGTGAGATTTTATCTTGAACTCAGTCACGATTTTAAGATAGATCATATTCGCAGAACTGACAGGATAAGCTTGCTTGGTTTGATGATCCATATAAATTTATTTATTTACTTATTTTGCACAAGATCATCATTATAACAACACTACATACTGCGACGCAATTAATATAATCCTGAGCGGGAAGTCTCAGAAGCCCTTTTAGGCTTATCTAGGAGACCCCCTTTACTGCCTGATAAGACAAGTCTGGCGGTCAATGATTACAGATCTTATACATTGATTTACAGATTCGTGAGTAAGTTACATTGGTATTGAATATACTACTATAAACTATTCGTTAGAATATAATTTTTTAATTTTCGCTTAAAAGTCGATTTATACTGGATATTTTTTAGATCATTTGGTAAGCTGTGGTATACATCAACTCCTTTAAAAACTAATGCTTAATTTCCTGAGGTTTGTTTTGACACAAGGCTTGTGTAATTTTTTGTTTGAACGAGTGTTGTGGTTGTGAACTTCTTCATTAGTCCTAAAAATATTTTTCGATGAGATAGGTAATTGATTATTTGAAAATTTTTTCATTAAGATAGCAATAGTGTAATAATTAACTTGATAAACATTCAGTATCTTCAGATTATCAAATAATGGTTTTGAGCTGTGATTGTATTCTTTGAAGGTTATTATTCGTACAAGTTTCTTTTGCAGTTTTTATATTTTCTCGAGATGAGTCTGATATGCATTAGCCCATACAACATTGCCATAAAAAAAAGGGGTAGATCAGGGCATAGTAAATTGATTTCAGTAACGATCTAGTTACAAAATGCCGCGCTTTACATAATATACCTGTTAGCCTTGATATTTTGTTTGCAACGAAATTAATGTGTTCTTTCCACTTCAGTTGGTCGTCAACTATTGTTCCATGAAATTTTGTGCTTTTTACTTGAGTAATATAATGGTCTTTGATTTTTATATTTAGTTATTTTTTTGCTTGATGATTTAAACAGCATGAAATTTGTTTTTGTAACATTAAGTGATAATTTGTTTAGTTGTAGCCACGTATTGATTTTAATTAGTTCTTCATTCATTTTATCTATCAGCGTGTCTAGATTTTTATGAGACATCAACAAATTTGTATCATCTGCAAAGAGAATGAAGGATAATTTTTTTTAACTATTGCAGATATCATTTATATAAATTAAAAACAGCAGAGGACCTAGAACTGATCCTTGGGGAACTCCACACGTTATTTCTTGTTTCTCTGATATTTCATTGTTGGATCTGACGCACTGATATCTCTGTATTACATAATTCTTAAACCATTCTAATGCAATTCCTCTAATTCCATAGAATTCCAGCTTTTGAAGTAGCAGGCTATGATCAACTGTATCAAAGGCCTTAGAAAAATCCAGAAATACCCCGATGGCAAATTCTTTGTTATCTAAAGCAGTCGTTATTTTATTGATCAGGTCAATAAGTGCGAAATTTGTTGAGTGATTTCTCCTGAATCCAAACTGATGTTCACTAAATATATGTTATTTGCCGGCTGGGAGGTCCGTATGGTGAAAAACTGTGACCGAGGTCTTGAAAATACTGCCCGAGGCCGTAGGCCGAGGGCAGCATTTTCAAGACCGAGGTCACAGTTTTTCACCATACGGACCGACCCTTAGCCGGTAAATAACATATTTATTGTTTTTAAACTTGATGAAATTCTTTCCGAAAGAACCCGAATGATTTAGGGCTGTAAATACGGCAAGATCTTCCATAAACTGAACAATTTTTGAGCGAGTAAATGGTAGTTAAAATAGAGGTGATGCAAATTAAAGAGAGATTCCTCAGCGAAACATTTTCATTTCCGTAACGATAAAGGTGATTTAAAAGGCTTCCAAACAAACTATGAAACATTATTTTTACAAGTATCTGTCAGAATCTGACACCTGTCAATTAGAGAGCGCGTAAGAAAAAAAAAATCATAAGAACATTTGAAAAACAACGGAACTAGTTTGGCAAGGACTGTCACGACAATGTTTTCTTCAAAATCAGTCAACGATCTAACGGAAAGTATTATTCACTCTCATCGACGATTCATTCATGTACGAAGATTTACCTCTGTTCATTAAGTAAACGGCGAGGAAAGTAATTGTGAGTAAATTCAATTTTTTTATTTTGAAGTTGTGAGAGTTTGCTCGTTTGTTTGCTGCAATGGCGTGTGTAAATCTGGTCTTTCCTTCACAAAAACTAAATTCGAACGGCACGCTCCAACGAGACACAAGGGAATTTAATGCGGCCTTTTCTCGAAAAATTCCTTCAGTTTCTGTTGTGTAATTTACGGTACAAATGTCCAAATTGAACGGAATTGGAAAGACTCACCGGGAGCCTATATTTGTTGTAGAACTTAAATTAAAACTTTGCTCGCTCTTTCACTACTAACAATTTTCTCGAGAAAATTCAGATATTAAATTAATGAAAGTTCCATCGTTCAGTTTAACTGTAACCAAATACCTCACGTTTTAACTTTCTGGGTACTTTTTGTGAATGATTAAAATTAATTGCAGACGGTTTTTAGGCCGCTTGTCAACCAACGTAATGACACTATTGTTTATACAAATTCATTCTGAAACCAATATTTTTCTGTTAACCAAAGTGATTTGAGAGAGAGAAAAGAGAGGATTTATAAGTTATTTATCGGCTTGAGGTAATGACCGACTTGTTTGCTTTAAAATACTGCCCAGCCGGAAAACGAGGTATATTTATGAAAAAATGACAACGAAAGTTGGGATGTACTCGGCGACTCACGAAAGCGTTACCGTGGCCCGTGGGCAGAGATAGGAAAATACTGACCGGGTAAAGAACCAATCAGATTGCAGGATTCGTTACCGTGCCCTCTAAAAAAACAATAAGAAGGCATATTTTGTTTAAGTAATTCAATAATCTTTTGTACATCATTTTTCCTAATATTTTAGAGAAGCAAGGTAATAAAGAAATAGGTCTGTAGTTGTTGAATTCACAACTGTCTCCTGATTTGTATACAGGAATAACAATTGATGTTTTAAAGTCTACAGGTAGTTTGCCTGTACTGAATGTGAGATTTATAATATGTGATAATGGTTCACTCAATTCTGTTGCTAACTGTTTCACTACTTTGGGCATGAAGTTATCGTGTCCACAGCTTTTTGATGGGTCAAGATTTTCTAGTTCTTTCTTAGTTTCTCGTTCACAGACAGGTGTCAAAAACATTGAATCCATGTAGTGTCCCTTCAAGTAACTAATGAATGACAAGTTGGTAGCAGTTATTTTCTTTGCAAGGTTAGCTCCAACATTAACAAAATATTCATTGAATCGATTAACAATTTCCCTTTTGTCAGTAATACGCTCATTATCTTTTTTAAATTCTGTAGAGCTAACAGTATCCTTCTTTTTTCTACTGATTACTTCATTTACTAATTTCCATGTCTGTTTTATATCACTTTTAGCAGTGTCGAATTTTTGCTCATAATATCTCCTTTTCAGAGTATTTTTTAACTTGTTCAGACGGTTGCGATAATATTTGTATTTTGCTTTTAACTCTTCATTTCCATTGTTTAAAATCCTTTTGTATAGCTTGTTTTTAATTTTAGATGATTTGATTAATCCCTTTGTAATCCAAGGTTTCTTATGAATTTTTGCTTCTTTGTTAGAAAGATTCTTTTCAGGTATACATTTATTGTATAAGCACATGAACGTTTCTTTAAAATAAGAATATGCGTCATCAACGTCATTGATGGTCCTTAAAAATTCCCAATTAATATTTTGAACTTCACTCTGCAATTTGTTCAGATTTGCCTTTGTTACTGCTCTTTTCTTGATAACCATCTTTTTTGGTTCAGGTGTGCTTATAGATGGAAATATTTGAAAGACAGGTAGGTGATCTGAAAGGTCACGGATTAAAATTCCTCGAACACAATCTAAGTGGATGTTATTAATAAATATATTATCAATTAATGTTGCTGAATTTGCTGTAATTCTAATTGGTCTGTTTATAAGTGGATAAATGAATGATAATCGAAACATTAGGGGAGAGACCTCATTTTCCATTATTATTATGATTAGCATGAGGAAGCATCACAAAAATGATGGTACCAGTGGGTATATCTACCTGAATTTTGAGAAAACACATTGTACCACCAAGGAGAACGTTTTGACCGATGATGTCCGCCGCATTCGTCTATATCTGCAAACAGAAAAGAAATTTTCACACGATAGACTCTCGTTAAAAAAAAAAAAAGCATCTAAACTTGAGTCTATGCTTACATTTAAAATATTAAAATGGTTTACACTATTTGAATTAATATAATTTCTATTTTGAGGCTCTAGTTGGTCTCCTTGAATGTTTGTTTTTAACTAGTTTTCACACTCAAACAGTAGACATCAGAATTTCTGCGCAAAGAATGATACAACATTAAAAGTGAGAATGCAGACTGAGCTTTGCGACACTAGGATATCACACGATGATGTATCATAATGGAGACTAATTGCATTCTAAAAAATTATCTGGAAATGGGTAGCACATATTTCATCAAGTCAATTCCAACCGCTTATCCTTCATGCACATAATATTTCAAGATAATTATTACAAAACCCATTTAGGCCGAAAACAATCATTCCCACTATATATTTACAGGCCTGGTACTAAAGTTTATACTATTAACAGATGGCTTGAGATTGGAGCATGGATAATGGCACCCTCATAACCCATACCGGAGTATTGTAGGGTAAGGATACCGGGTACTTGTTCACTAAATACTACAATACCGGACGTACCCTCACACTTTTGAAAACTTGGAGAAACCAGAGCATAACCAAGAGGGCAGACACCATCTACGGGGAAGGCCCAGTCTCTGGGTGAGGTTATACCAGGTGTTGGTGGACCATCATTCGAGCACCCCTGCCCAACTACTGCACCGGGATCTATCAAGATGGCATATGAACCGTTCATGCTCAGTGCAGCCTTCGGCGTGGCAAAATGAAGTACTGTGCGATTACTGTCCACAATAACGTAACCAGAGAGGGCATTCACTTTGAAGACGGTAAAACCATTTGACTGCAGAACCAATCGGATGAATGCTGAGCTACGAGGCTTCTTTATCTGTAAATAATCAAGCTCAATCTTAAATTCAAGTATATTCTAATCATGTATGTTTCCCTAACATTTTGAATTACCAAGATCTGAAAGCTAGTTCTTCCAAAAGATGATTTCGATTTTTTTTTATTTCCTGGCTACAGAAATCTAGTGTTATACCTGGGTAACATTAGCTCGTCATTAATTAACGTGATTGCTATTCCTTAAAGGGGTAAAATTTATCAGAATGCTAATAGAGGATCTACATACAAGTAATTATTTGAAAGGTAAAGAAAGGAGTGTTGATTACCACTCTGTTAAAATGAATACTCCACCATATTAGTCCTGTTCCAATTTCACTTATAGGACTTATTGGCCTTCGTGTACCCAAAATAACATGAGGCGTATTACCTAAAAATAAGTGTATTTACATTGAAATAATATCAAAATGGTACACCGTAATTCAATCATAGATGAATAACTTATTGACTTAATGGATATGCTTTTAATGTCAATTTTTGTGTACTATGATGTCATGGTTATTATTGCCGTTTTTATCATTTATCATTATTAAAGATTTTGTACTATCATGTGTGTTTGTTTGTGTAGTTCTAGTCTGCATCAAAAGCAAATGAACCTGCCAACGCCTTAACAGTATTAAAGATTAAACAGAGGGAAAGAGAAATTAACAAAGCTCAATTTATCTTAATGTCTCAATAAATTGAAATATTTCAGAGGATATAAAATTATTTACTTAGCCCCACAAGGATCGTGACACAACGCCATTCACTTTGTAATCTGTAAATTGGAAATGACACGAATCATTACTATAAATACACGCCGATTTACACAACATGAATCATGAATTTTTTTCATACTCCCGTAAATTACTAACGACGTGTTCTAAAGTTAACTTGGCAGGAACTGTTTATGCACATGTATCTTGTATTGGCACAGAGTTGCTCTGGTGCATTTTGAGTTAAGAATACTGCCTACATGAGCATCTAACACTCCAGTGAAACACCAGTAGTGTTATGCTATGTCGTGAACAGTGATCATTAATTCTGATTAAAACTTGAAAAAAAATCAATCTAACTTCAGTTCATCAAAATCCTGATTCCAGGTAAAAATTTCTTACATAACATACGAGAACATCTTACCCGTCTGAATCCAAAGCTTGAAAGCAGAACAACTGCTGCCCAATTTGGTTCTGACTCGGATACCACGTGACATTCCTGAAGAAGATGCCTCCATGGGAGCTTAATGGTGTCAGTTGCATTCCAAGTGGAGAGCTTGTGGTTATCTCAACAATACTTAGAACATTGACAAAAGAGTCTAGGTTAACAGCAAACATAACAAGACAAGTAATGCATCTTTGGATATGTTTTTGTATAAACAGTTCATGGATGTAAAACGTAAACTCAGATGCCCTAAAATTGTAACCTTGAAATACTTACTGTTTACTAACGTTTGGAAGCCGCACCTCAATGACTGCTTTGTATACTGACCCAATCTGAATCTCTGAGCATTCACCATTTTGAGGTGTGGAAGCAGTAAAAACAGGTATGTCTTGACAAGAACCAGATCCAACGCCTATTATGACAAGAAACTGCAGTGGCACAGCACTGAATGGTCTGATGTTGTTGAAGTTTGTGGTTCCAGCTGGAAAGTCTTCCAAAGTTAAGGTTACTACGTATGTGCCCGATGCTCCAAGTCCACCTCTGTAAGTTAAAATGCAGTTTTTCTGCAAAGCGAAGTATGAAAGATACCTTATTTACATGCATCAAGCAAGTTAAGATTATCCTACTTCAAAGTGCCATATTGAGATCTCACTAGGATTAACAAGAAAATCACAGTGTGCTTGTTGATCCTTCTTTCTTTCACGTGTTGATGCCACTCATCAAGAATAATCAAGACTAAATTTCCTTTTTCCCTATGAAACGTTATCTTTTTTTTTGTCATGGAAGAATAGAAGAGTCTTTTAGGTCTTAAGTTGTGATCATCCTAATTTACAAGGCTTAAAATTTTCTCATGTTTTTATAAAACAAGGGAAAAACATAATTAGAGTGTATAAATATACCTCATCAAGTTCACCGTAAGGAAAACTATCACTTGGTATGGAGGACTCAGCGCTAGTTGCCCAACGACATTTCACAAAATCGCCATCCGGATCTTCAACTGGAATTGTAAGAGACTTCTGACAGCCCTGTTGAAACCGCACAATAGCTGGGCTCTTGGAGACTGGGGATGAGTTAATTTTGCCGCTATCAGATCGTCTAGAGAGACTTATTTTGGTAGATACCGACCATTGTGAGTCAGCATATCGCACAAGATTGGAAATCCAACAGCAACTTTGATATCTGTCGACGAGACAAGAAAGGGATGTTTTTGAAATACACTGAGACTGCTGAAAGTTATCTTTATTTGGGAAGACAGGCCATAACATCAACGAAACTGAATATGTGAAAGCCTTATACGTTAGTCAGCGCACTTACCAAAAAGTTAACAGGAATGGAAGAAAGGAGTAATCGAGGGACTGAATATAGAAGTGATGGATAGAAGAAGATAATTGCGGGTCATAACAACAAATTGGTAACGGCCTTTCAGCCGTTATAATATTTGAAAAACCACCCCACTTTTGAAAGATAACTTTGGTCATTATAAACGGCTCTTGTTTGTTCGAGGCTTTGTGCTGCCTTAAAGTGAAACATTCTCAAAAAGTCAGTTCTCATGTGTTTCTTTTTCTCTTAATTCACTTATTGACCCACCTCACATTCCACTCCAGATTGCCAGAAGGAAAAGTGTAAGTGAAGTTATTTTCCCCCATGGACCAGTCTTCATTGCGACTAAAGTCAGTACAACGAAAGCGAGTGTCCGCGATTATATAGCTCAGTGAACACACTGCACTGAATGGATCGCTGCACTTAGCTGTCCAAGAACCTCCAGATCCAATAATTCCTCCAACGTTAATCGTGTTCTCATCACAGTAATATGAAAAATATGACCTTCGAAGAGCCAGACGGAAGGTAAACCGAACCTGGAAAGTAAGTAGAAAGATATTATACAAGTTTCAGTCTTCTCTAAGACCTTTAACGAGTATAATTAAATTTGATAGAATCACATGCTCACGTAAATGGAAAGCTATTTTACGCTAACGTTATTTATAATGATTTTATCATGTTAGATGATCATGGTCCATTATCAAGTTAAAAAAAAAAAGCAAAACAAATAAAACCGTGATATCGATGGAACTTAACGCATAAAGGAAATTAAGGAACAGTATTTCCCTTATATAGCCATGCCAAACAGACTCTTACTGCCACTACACCCGTGGGTGAAGCAGTTCAGGTTCAAGAAGGCAACCTTGTATTTCCTTCTCCATGTCCTGAAGGTTTCTATAGCCGTTAGTCCCTGTACAAATTTTGTGAAGACGTGTCATTATTTTAACTCTATAGCAATTGTTAATTGTTTTCTTTCCTGAAAACGGAAAGTGTCAATGAATTTGTGTCATCGCTGCATTTTGATGAAGGTGGCGGTTTCATTCTTCAAATACCCTTCCGGTTACATGAAGTTTCTCAAAAGAGATGTCTTCAAATGTGCTTCATATACACACAGTTGCCCTCGCCGGACTCTTTGTCGTGGAAAGTTTGAAATACGCCTACGGTAAAAAAGAAAGTCAACCGCCAAGACGGAAAAACTGGAATGTTAAACAAAAGTGGGAGGATGTGGTTTAGGGCGCTTTGGCGTCTGGAGGAAAATTATGAAAATGGATAAATAATTACAAAAACCGCAGTCTTTCCAGAAATGACCACAGTTGGTTGCGTCAGATAAGATATAGCGTGATTCCTTCTTGGTTGAGTATAACGTGCTTAAAAAAAAAAAAAAAAAACACTTTTATATAATTCAAGCAGTTGCAATGAAAAAGAGCGGGATTAACTCCGTCGCGCTCAATGGCAAACGGTCGTTGAAAATTAAGCCAAATCATGGCTTTCCCTTCCGTAGGCGTGTGAAGAAAGCTATGAATGAGAACGAACAACCAGAGAGAACGCGACTTTTCAAGAGATGGACACAGCTGACTGAGCCAAAAGAAGAACGAACTCGATTTCCTCTTGGCTAAGTATCTCTTCAACGTGAAAAAAAAAATCAAAGCAGTAATAGAAAAATGCGCAGTTTGAAGTTCAATAACATGCTGCTCCTTACTCGCTAAGAGATTTCAAGGTTAACAAATCGCTGAATTATGCCGTACACACTGAGAGGTGATTCAGCAGATGAAAAAAAAATTTAAGCAACTACTGTTAAGGCTTGTTGTTTGTATATATATAACACTGGCATATAAAAGCGGTTTTTTTCTTTTCAAGTCCAAAAACACATAGCCAGCAATGGTTCCATCGTTTACAAATTTCATCCATGGTTACAAAAAAAATCGGTAAAGAGTATCAATTACGTATACTGACTCAGTGAAAGAGAGCAGATCACGGTAGTTCAGAAATATGTAGCATCCATCTTAATCAACAAAGCGCATCGAGAGCCGTAAAAAGATCAGGGGATGACGAAATACAAACGTGTATGCGAGCTGGTTCGATACATTCGAATGCTGTTTAAACCAAATAAAAATATATGACTTAATGCAGAAAGCAAATTTCCTTCAATACCAAGATACATAAAGTCCAAATTTGTCCAGTGATAATCTGAAGTCAGCTTTGTTAAATGTTCCGACCTCGGGAATGCCTTCTTCAGCAGTAAACGGAGGAGCCATGATTAGAAGGGTGAATACCGCCACTTGGAGAAGAGAGATATGCTTGTCTGTAATGTGCTTTACTATTTAATGTGCTTTGATGCAAAGTTTGGTCTCTTAACAAACAAAAGTTTTACAGTACTGTTTGGTGAAGTGTTTCCACGAGTTCTAAAAATCTGAAGAACAAGATTTCTAGAGCTTTTAGTCTCAAGGTCTTAGTTTGTCTTAGTAGGTAGAAACAGGGCGGCAGCCAGTTGCTCTGAACAGGCTGTCTATTTATGCTTGCAGTGAAATTTCTTCACCTCACCTCAGTAAATGCTTCGGAGAAAACGTTCATTTGTAATTATGTATTTGTAATGTCTCATTTACAATCTGAAGAAGAGAAAAACGAGCCTTACACATGTAAAGGCAAGTTCATCAAATTGAACTTCAACTTGTATCAGCAAGGTTTTATATTCGACATGCAAAAACGGTAGACAACAAATCTCTAAAATAATCTCAGTAGCGTGCAATTAAGGGCCATACCGTGTTGTTATCAGCATCAGCTGGAACAAAGCTCATGACGGCATGTCTGAAGTGAGACCCTTCCACTACAAACGGCCATTGCACGAACACAAGTAGGCAGTGGACGTATAAGGTGTCAAAGAACCTTCCGCGATTGACCCACTCCGAAAAAAAAAAACATATAAGGTGAATCATCTTGAATAGACCTAAGCTTAAGCTAAATCATGTTTCAAGATTACTCAGGCGTATCCAAGGTAATCAAAAAAAAGCCATTATATTACCTTTTCTTGATAAAAATCAATTTATTCATTTTATGGTTTGTCATGTTATCAAAGTAAAGTAGTTTAAGGCACAAGCTAAAAAATCACTTACAAAAGTGGGCTTATCAATCATTCAATCAAGATTACTCGGGCGTATCCAAGGTAATCAAAGACTTCGAAGCCATTCAATACATACATTACCTTTTCTTGATAAAATAGGGATGCAATTGTTTATTCATTTAATGTTTTGTCATGTTATCAAAGTAAAATAGTTTAAGGCAAAAGCTAAGAAATCACTTACCAAACGTGGGCTTATTAACTACTTCAGTACACTTTAAATGAATTCGGTTACCTTAGCATGAAACCTCAGAGAAAGTCTGGTACCTACCGAGCCGAGTCATTTCTTTCATAACAACACATTACGCGGCTATTACAAATCACATTTTACTTCAGTTCAAACGAGTGAAGGGAAAGCTTATGACACATATATTTCACAACCAAAGAGAATGCAGTAAAGGTAGCTTGATGCAGATGCATAGCAATCACTTCTTTTCTTCGCATGGCATGAGCATTAATTACATGCCTAGTGCGTGACAACATTGTTGCCACAGGTCGAAAATTCATATTAATTACCTTCAGAAAGCACGTTTTAATTTCAGCTAAGCATAACTCAAGGGTTTTGTGACCGTCATATTCCAGAACTTTTTAGATCCTATAAACATATAGCTAACTTGTGCCTTAATATTTATATTTTTGGAATATGAAAACGAACTGCACCTGGTGTATACTGTAAGACAATGTATCTACATGAGACGATCGCCTGTTGTAATTAGACATTTTTATTGAGTTATGTCCAACGCTTTATCTAAAGATAGGCATTGGAGTAGAAGAAATCAGGGGAAAAGGGTCCCTAGCAATGCATGTTGGATCGAGAAAACTAATGAAATCACTAGGTGTAAGTCTAAACCATCAGACCGTGACCCCACACCTTAAACTTATTTTTCGTTCCACTTATCACGATTCTAATAAGCTGTTTTTAATACCCCACTTTTCGAAAGGAAAAGACTGAAGATAGACTTGCATAGTCAGGCAGTTGTCATGAGACATGTAAATTGTGTGTTTTTTGATTTAATAAATTTTGACCTTGCTATGCAAAGTGACCTAAATATGTATTCTTTGCATTTTTGACTCTTCACCTTCATATCTTGCCATCTGTTCACCTTAATACCTTCATATCTTTATATCAAGTCGTCATGATACATCAACATTTAAACTTGATACAACATTGAAGAGTATTGCCTATTACTTTGTACATTTCCTCGGTAAATTAAGGTGAATTAAACTCTTTATTTAAAACATCATATATACCCAGCGTGCAATGCACAACGTTCTTCAAAAGTTCGTGTAAATTTATTTCACTTTTTAGTCAAACATTTCGTATTTTAGTAGGCTTCAAGTTCGGTTGCATTGAAGCTATTTTCGCCGTATAATATATAATCAATAATGCTTGAAAGTGGAGGTTACATGATCAGAAATGCGAAGTTGTAGAGTACTCCACAGCTGATTGATCTTGATAAACAACATTCCTCGAGATTATTGATTTCCTTTGTGTTTTTGATTAATATTCGGTATGTATTTTTATTAACACTTAACAGCTTTTCAAACTTGACTTTTGACCTGATATTTCTCTAATTGTCCTGAAAACAAGACTTTATCACGAAACCTACTAAATAGTAATTGACTTCAATTGCGTTGAAAGCGTCTTCACAAGTATCGACAACCATGCACTCTACCATACACTCTAAACTTATAACTGCAGACTCAGAGTGGCAAACAGAAATAGAAAACATGAAAAGCACCTTTACATATTGTTCGTTCTTGTAATAATGCCGCTATTTCTAACTGACTCATTAAATTGCTTTTTTGCTATAACCTTTTCAAACCTTTATTTCATTTCTCGAGCTTTTCGTCAATTCGACGCTAGTTTCGTACATGCAAACTTTGGGTTTCCTTCTTCTTCTTCTTCTTCTTCTTCTTCTTCTTCTTCTTCCTTTTCTTCTATCTTGGTAGGTTAAATTTTAGGTATTATAGAGGTTCTTTAAGATAATGGATAAACATTGGTTGCCAAGAAAATCTGGTCTCGAACAAATGCTAAATAAGCGCTTCCGAAATAAAATGTCAATGATGAGGTAATACTCATTTCTCTACATAAATGACGCCGACAAGAAAAAAACGAGCATTGTGTACTGAATCTTCTTTTACAATAAAAATTTGGCGCAAACTGATTAGTGTTGTCACAAGTCAAAACTTGGAAATGACTTGTAGTCAGAAATATTCTATGGGCTTCTGACTTGAGTAACAGTGTTTGAGCTAAGAGTTTTGACTCTCGGCATTCCTCTCCACCGTGTCGTCTTGGATGTAGTTATTTCTTCGACTCGTTTGCTCATCTTGGGTGGTGTCACTGTACATGTCTCTGACCTTGTTTTTGTTCGTCATGAGCCGTAAAATGCGATATTTGACTAAAACAACAGCCAGAGCTATGACTGCAACAAGACCAATTCCGCCAGCGGCAGTTGCGCCTCCGATTACAGCTGCTGATTGTTTCCCTGTGTCTATAAAAACGAAAAAAAATAGTATTGTAAACAAACTTGCATAATGCCTTAAGATCTCACGTCCACACGCTATGACAATCAGTAACTTTTATGCTTTTTTATTGCTTACCACAATGGTCTTGCAAAGGGTACAGGCTTCCAAGTGTATGCGTATGTAGAAGAATATAACCTTTAATTTCTCAGCCTCTCAGAACCCTGCAATCTCATTAGTGTTTAATGACCACTTAAGTATGATTTATTTTACGACTTCGGAAAATAATGTTTTTGTCAAACTTAATACTTTCACACTCATTGAATTTTTAAGTATCTCCTTAAGTTTGTAAATCTTTGTATTAGGGCTGCCTTTTACTTGGTAACGTGGAGAACGTTTTTCTTTACCCTTGTCCATATACACACCCTTCTTTTTAGTTCTATTTAACTTAGTGCGTGAAAATGATTTACCTCCTTTTTCGTTTTGGCTTTTTTCTGAGACAATTTTGATTGGCCCTCTTTTGATGATGTATGGACTGGTTGTGTCCTCTTCCAGTCCTCGTTTCTTCCTATTAGCTGACGGTACGCATCCCTGTTGGCACCTTCAAGTCATCAAGTTATGAATATTTATTTCCTTGTACTTTTATCATTGAGAGTTAAAACTGCGGTAATGCACAAGCATCTTAAATAAAAATCTTAAATTATTTTAAAAAGCTAAATATTATCATCTTGTTCCAAAACTCCTCGACATGAAAGGAGCTTATTCTGGTTGACTTTGGGCTTTGGTTTTGAAATACTTTTCCTGTGCCTAATCCACCGCAGTTGAACTTACCTAGATAATATAGACTCCTCAAGACAGGCTAACAGCTCACAGTGGATATAATACGAGTCATAGTTATTAAAGAACCTGAATGCTCTCAGTGCAAATGTTTGCCAATTTCTGCTTGAGTTGTAATCGTGACTCAGTGTCGTGTCCATTGCACACCTTTTGATGCGAAAACAAAATTGCGTAAGCCACGAAAAAATAACATTGTGTTGTCAAAATGATGAAATTATCTTATTTTGATCATATTATGCTAAGAAATTAACAATCATTATCAAACTACCGAAAGAGGAAGTTGAGGATGACGGAGTATTGATGCCGTTTACGTTCGAAGAGCTAGCAAGACTAAAATTTTCAAAATTTAAACAATTAGGTAACTCCTTGATATGACACGTACCCATCTTGTATAATGGGATATTGCGGTGACGAATAATAAACTGAACTTTTCGTAACCAAACAGTTAAGAGCCATCACCCCAAGGTTAGCACTGGACTCCACCTTGTACCCCAGGTAGATATATTCATTCAGTGTCACCTCGACGGGGTAAGCAGAGTGGGGCGTTGAATAGGAAGGACTTGTGTAGACATCAAATGTAAAGTTGAAGTCACCGAATCCCTCTGAAATGATATTTCATTGTCAAACAGATAAGTCATTTGCATTAGTTTACCCAGAGACAATTAAATTTCTAGCAGATAATGTGGAAGTATCTTTCGGTCGAGTTATATGCAAGTACTGCATTCCCCTTCTTTTTACCACGGGCAACGAAACCCTGACATTTAAAAAGCGATCAAGGTAAAGCGTGCTACTTACCTAGGATGCTTAATGATTACAAGAGCAGTAAAACTGATCATTTTAAATCGACTCTGAAATGCTGGAAGTACTGAATAAGCCACAGAATCAACATAATTGATGATGAACCATTAATTGGTTACGCATCTACTTACCTACACCGGGAACATCAAGCCTTCCCTCGGGGACAAATTGTAGGCTGAGAAACTTCGTTTTGGAATAGCTGCAATTAAACGGGAATTCAAAGTCATGTTCCCGTGTAATCTGGCCGTTCACTAGCTCGGCATCTTCGTGAACAACATTGGAGAACACAATAGTGTCTTCAGTTTCGTAGAATTTTGTGCCGCATTCATTTAGGGCTGTGCTTATGGAAATAAACTGCGGGCTGTCAGAGGCTGAACACGCAGGGGCATCCAAGGACATGTTCCCCGCTTCAAGTGTAGTGAATATACCCTTCTCAAATGTGACCTCTATCTCATGGGCACGGCATGTGACAGTTACGCCAGGTTCTAGAGTGATGTTCAAGAAATGTAAAATTAAGAATTTAAGCCCAAACGAATATAAATTTCGACAAATTGTCAACGCGAGCGCTTTGTATTCACTTGCTAGTTGGCGCGAGTACCTTTGCTTCCGCCCTGTGCCATCCTTTTTTGTATACAAGTGAGGAAAACGACAGCCAAGATCCTGGATGCCATTTTATATTCCAAACTTTCGTTGATTATCACACTAAGATGTACCAAGTTTAAACTGAACCGCCTAACAATCTACCAATTGCTCTACTTTGGAAACTTTCGAGAATGTAATTAAGTTCCGGTGGCTTTCACAATTAAAATAGTTGGCGCGCAAGTGAAAACTAATTACTCATTGAATTTCAAAGTTGATTTTTTAAGTACTGGATTAAAAATAGCTATTGTTCCTGCCCACTGAACTATGCCTCTATGTGGCACCATATAGACAATGCAAGGGTAGCCATGTTTTTTAATAGGCTGTCGACTCAGCCACGCTCTCCGTTTACAGTTTTCGATCACATGCGAGGACAAACCTGACCTTAACCTTAAAAAAAGGTATAACTCTCCGTGAACTGAGAAGGCAAATCATTTCTGGAGTTTCGACATGTTTTCGTCACCAAAATATTTTTGAATAGTGCACGAGAGGGGACATTGGTTTCATTTGGGGAAGGAAAACTAAACAAACCAACAAAGAAACTGTTTCAATCACAGACAACAATCTCAGTGTCACAAAGTTTGTATACAGACTTTTCAGCAAAAAAAATTCCAAAAAAACAAAAACATGATCAAACGAATGGAGTCAATAACTTGTTATCAATCACAAGCCTGCTCCGTTGGGCGTGAAGACAATCCTTTGTGAGTCCAATGACAAGTGTTGTGAACAATCACGCCACTATGCAAATAAAGCAGACGGCCGTCAAGCTTTTTACAAATACATGTACATGAAAGAACAGCACCAATCACCGAGGATAACAATTTTAGGTGGATTATACTGTTTTTATTACAGAACAAAACACCCCACATCAAACAAGGATGTGAGGTGTTATTTCCTTTTGAGAAATAAGGGAAAGAAGGTGACAGGCCTTCAGACGATTACGCGTAGAAGCCATTTCCACTACGTTCTCTTCTCAAACTGAAAGCAAAATAATGTTAAACCTTGCAGCAACGTTTACCATCTGGCATTGTTTGTTGTAAACAAGGCCATTTTAAAGCAATTATAACGGAACAGGAAATTGCTGGCCTCCAGCCGAGTGAGTATGCCAAGGCGGTATGACGACGGGGAACCTTTCTAGGAAACAAGTCTTTCTGAGTAACCAAATACATTTAGTAAAAAGGAATACAACAAGCCATGCATATGACAAGTTTTACAGGTCACTGCTTCTGTGAAAGAATGTCAACATAGGTGTTTCGCCCAGTATGTTACCATCTTGTGTTAGCTTTTTCAATGTTGTCTCCATTTCCTAGGGTAAATGATGTCAATCATATTCCATCATCAAAAATCTTACCTTCTCTAAGTACTCTGTGTCATCATCAAGTCTAATGCGCGGCATTAATTATTCAACATATCACATTTTTAACTTAGCAAATATAATGAACCAGAAAATGCGGAGTCCCTGCTGTGCAAGCACGCCAATGCCGACTTCATACAACCAGGGCACCTTTCGCTGTCGATAGACTTATCATACCATCAACATGCTCAGCCCCTTGGCGCAAAGAAACCTTTTAAACGAAACTATTTTTTTTGTTGACTCAGTAAAATAGCATACGCGTAGCCGTACCCTCCCTCCCCCCGCAAGGTGACGTCACTCGATCAGCATTACTCTTACGAAACTGGATTTCAACGTCCACGCGGTTTCTGCTTGCCTCAGTAAACATTGCCACGATAGCTGAAAAAAGTTGGATCATTTGCTGCAGAATCTCAAAGTTTTTATAGATTTCTTTAAGAGATAGTTACACTGCAAACGCGAAGAAAGAGCGACTCGAAAGAATCGCTGCAATAAACAACTAGCTTTAATTTAATAGCTTCGTAGCAATGTTCGCAAAGAGACCGAAAGTTGAAGGCGGACAATCCTCTTGGCTCAATTCCATTGAGATAGTACACCTGGCCTTTCACGAGAGCTTTAACAGGCGGCACAAAAAATAATTATAGTGACCGGTTTCTTCTTCAGAAGAGAGGCGATTGATCATTGGCGCTGTTTGATATATTAAAGATTTTCCATAGCCAGTTGGTAACGAAACGGAGACATCGTTACCTTCGAGGAACATAACTATGGCTTTCTGCTGTTCTTTTGAAATGTTTCTATCCCAAGAAGGAGATCAGTATCAAAAGTGGTATTAAAAAAAAAAATAGATCACTGAGTAGCATTCCCACGAAGATTTACATGTAGATTCGTGGAAATTTGTTTCTGTTAATTAGCTACAGCCAAATTATCCACCTCAAACGTATACACCTTTGCAGAACAACGTTGAAGGCTGGAAGAACAGAACCAGACAGGTTCCAATCGCAGTCAACGTGCGAGGCACCATCACGAAGACCTGTCGTACAATCTGCTGATTGCTTCGTTTGATTCGATACTTTGAGATAAATTATTACGGTTAAGTTAACAGATTGATTGATTGTAAATACCATTAAACATATAGCGTAGATAATAAGCTACGATTTCGTGCTATCTAGCTTTGTGATTACTTTGGGAGCGAACAATGCATGTACTGTAAAACTTATAGACTTCCCCGAGGTATTCAGAGTTTTCCTTGATGCGTATTTGACTGAATCTGATGCAAAACACACGCAGAAATTTGCGCCATTTTTGACCCCTGTGCCTCAAAAAGACCATGCAGCACCAACCTTATCTCGGAATTTAAAAAAGAACCCTAAGTTTTAGCAACCAGAAGGATGGGCGCAAGAATAGAGGCGTAGCTAGGTAAGGGTCCGTGGGTACCACATACAAATAATTTACTTACATATTGCAAAAACGCGCGAATCCTAAGAATCTGTATGGCATAAATCTCTTTCATTCGCCGTCCTTCACCATGACTTCGCATGAATACGAACTTGTTGATACACAAGGAAGATGAGTGGTTTAAGCCACCTCTTGTGAGGTGCTCGGAAATTTGTAACTGAGAACGCCTCTTCCTTTGAAAAATCTTAGCTCAGTCCAGAAGAAGGAGAGAAAGACTGGCTAGCGCTACTCTTAATTTTAATTGTCGGCTTTTTGAGAAATCAGTCGGCAAATGCATTCAAACCAGTAAAAGTTATAATTATAAGATGAAACCTGTGCAATTGTTGGGAACACCAGTCAACAACAACAACAGCCGTTTCGTATTTTTATCGATACCCTGTTATTGATGATGATTATAATGCACTACAGTGAACCTTCTACAACCTTCTACCTTACTTCGTACCTTACTGTTATTTCACGACGGAAAAAAATTTTCTAGTTTTTCTACCTTTCTTCTGGGTAAAATTCCTGTACGACCATCACAAGGCCGGCAGCCGCTTGAGAGTCTAGCAATCATGGTTATGATTGAAATAACCGATCCACTGCTTTCCTGCAAAAGTATTCATGATAATCTAGTTTTTGGTGAAATCACCATTACATAAGATACATTTAATGTGCGAATTATTTATGCTTCAAATATTACGACACTAAGTTGGTTTTTCACCTGCTAGTCGCTTGTTCGGTTAGTATGTTCGCTGGCTGGTTGGCTTGTGGGTGAATGGTTTATAATTAGAAAAAGGCCTTTTTTCTTTCATGTTAAGTTCAAAGTTTTTAAAATCTACTTGCCCTAATACTTCTAAGAAAATTAAGATAATTTCATGCGTATGGAAAGATCTGTGGTATCGTAAAGTAAGACAAAGTGACTCGATGATTTGTGGAATGGCGTGAACTCTGGATCGAAAGGTCCGCATAAACAAGGAGAAGGACGTTACTATGTACCCTTTCTTGCTACTATGACTCAAATAAGAACCAAGTGTGTTGGCCGCTTCGTTAATTTAACCAAGCTTTTATTTTTTTTAACTTAAGCAACCACCTTATGTTCATGAATCAATTCAGTGATAAAAGCCAATGCCATCAAGTACATAGTAGACATGCCACTTCATAAAATTGCCACTGGCGCGTAAGTTGATTACCTGATAGAGGAGGTTTGAAAAAAGCTCTAAATATGTACGGAACTTCCTATTATAAGGGAGCTACCGGACGATAATTAAGCTGAGAAGGAAATAAGAGACAATTCTGGGTCATTTAAAATAGTTAGATTGGTGCAAGTTACTTTAACGGCCTTTGAAATCACGCTGACTTAATTAGTCATAATTGGTGACTATGCCATCCTTACCATTGAATGCAAACGGTCTGCTGAACTTTTTCTTCAAAAACAGTTGTTGATTTGGGCCGCAGATAGTCCTTATCGACAGAATAATGACCCATTTTCTTTGCTCAGTTTGTATAGGTAATCACATGATTTCGAGTGCAATTTGCGATAAATCAGCACGAGTAAATATAAATTTCCTGAAGGCCTGACAGATTGCACGAGCTCGTAGAGCCAGTTGTTTGTCCTTTGTTGGATGTTTTTTTTTATGATTCTCCGTCAAACTCTGAATTACGACATCGTCTCTTTCTCTCCACCTTTCCGGCTTTTCCTTCTAGCGGTTTGCTTTCGCTACTTACCTAAAATTAATTCAATTTTCTGCACTAATTTCAACTTCTTGCACTCAATTGCCACTTTCTGCACTGTTTGGATTAATATAAGTGTTCTCAGCCAATGAGCATGTTGAAATTTTTGGATGTTTATTATTAGAAGCGAAACCGATGAATTCTTTAGAACCCACTTACTCGTGACACTAATCCATTCGACCATTTGATCAGGCAAAAAGAAAATCTGTAGAACTGCCTTTGGTCCAGCGTGGAACGAAACAATTTGATGATCAGACGATGGTAGCTGAGTTCTTTGACAGTCAAAAAGAAACTATGCTCTTGTTATATCACCATGCTTCCAAATTTCCAGTAAAGCTTGTAACAAATTACAATGGCAACGGCGGAACTAATCAGAAGTATCAATGGAAAGTATGCAATGGCTTTCTGGTGATTAAGAACAGAAATCACAATGATATTCAACGCGCGACAGAATACAAATTTGCATGAAAAGTGCAATGTCCAGTGAAAGCAACGGTTTGAATTTTTAAATTCTTTGAATAAGTGGTTCGTGTACATGAAATTTTTGGCGATGTTCTCTGTACGGTCCGATCAATGTCTGTCCCTGGTTATTTTAGGAACACCTGTTTTGCCTTTCTCCTCCTTTTTTGGTCAGTTTATCTTCCTTTACTCTGTATAGAGGGAAAAGAAATGACAACATACAAGAGGATCACGACCACCTTCCAATTTCGTTTAAATTTGTCTTCAGACCCCTTCTTTAACCAAACCTTTTACAGCAGGAGAAATTGTCCACAGATCTAATACTTCATGCTCGCCTTACGAAAGTTTAGTCTTTCGATGAGATAAACTGTGGTTTGCAGCAGTCTTGAACAAGTATAGATGACAGCAACCTGAATAGTATTCAAACAAAAAGATAACTACTTGTCAATGCGTGTTGAGGCTCACATGGGGTCCCTATGGGTTACCAGTGGTATGTTTCCCGTTATACCATTTTTGTTGATTTCAGACTTTTTAGGGAAAACCGAGCGAATTACGCTTAGCAGGAAGTTTTTCGCTGAGCTGAAGGAAGATGATTCTTAGAAGGTGTAGTTGACAGAAGAAATTTCTTGGCCTTCCCCGTTCCTCTCTTACTCAGATATTCGAAGTACAACTGAACTTATATTATAACCTGTAAGTACTCCGGGAAGGGGTAGACAACTTCTTCCTTCCCCCTTCCGATCACTAGCAAGACTACCCAAGGATAGTATGATGGGGTTTAGGCTTCTCCCTTTTATGCTCATTGTCAGGTACGTGCGAACAGAAATCTTACACAAATAACTCAATAAGACAAAAACTGAAACAGCTTACCTTATACAATTTTGAATCTTTCATCCACGCCTTTAGTGACTTGGCGTGTTTTATTTCAGTTGTTTCGAACGATGATGAAATAGAACGGAAGAGTACATTGGTATGATGGGCTAGAGTTGATGAGCTCTTGACATCGTCAACTGAATCCAGCGCCTCTTCCTTAACAACAGTTTAATAACAGTTTGTCATTGTGACTATGTCTTGGTTCAATACCCTACGCCTCACGTTATCTAGGGGAGTCGTCTCCATTTGGTCTTAACTCTTCGTCCATGATGAGTTCGTTTTTCTTAACTTTACTTCCGTTATATTTAAGTCTTAAATTCGAGAAACCGGGTTTTGTGGTATTTGGTGGAGGTACGTCTATATTCTTTTGTTTCCTTTTCTTACATAGATGTGATAGCTTTACTTCTTCATTGTTATTAGAAACCATCGGCTCGCTCTCGTTCGTATGGTCTCGGTATTCTATCCGTGTTTCTGTGTTGTGGGTCTCTCCTTCTTCTCGTTATAGCTCTTGATTGCCTTGATTATTAATATTTAAGAACTAGTCAGACCCATTTCCTGCTTCAAATTGGCAAGTTTGGTCGTTTTCGAAAAACGTTTCCGGTCTACGTATATACTCTCCCTGAAGGAAGCTTTTTTACTGGTGCTAGAATTAAGCCCAATGCTTGCGTGCATTGGTTGCATTTCTGTTCATTTTGAATTTCATTAGCATAAAACGCAAATTTTCGTATCTTGGTTTGTTCCTCGTGCCGCCGGCCAGCTCAATCTTGATATCTCGGTTAGATAGCCTATTTGATTGCATGAACTCCTTGAAGTATGCGATTCAAAATTTAAGAAATAAATCAGTGGTATCTTTTTTTTCAAAGAAACAAATCTCAGAGAGTTGAGCGCTGTGCATTCCTCTGCAGACCCAGCCACAGTTGCTATGTAAGCCAAGTGATTTGTCTCGACCATGATGAAGCTTGTAACTGCCAGCATCGCAATAATGCTATAATACCCGTGTGAAACCCAGCCTTGGTCTGTGATGTCACTCAGGAAGCAATAGTTAAACAGTGGGGGGGACGCTGATCGCAGTTAAGTTCTTTGCCAAAAGGTGCCACGTGGTTCAGGCACCGATTTTCCTTTCCAGAAAAGACAGGTTGATCCTGTCTCCAAGATATCCAGATAAAGGGGAGATAAGGGCGTCTGCAAACCAGACTGATAAGCATGATCATTCCTGTTTGGAGGCTAAAAGTTTAATGACTTTCTTGAAGAAGAACATTTCAAATGAGGAAAGGATGTGGCGAAAGATGTCGTTAAAAACATTTCCCACTGTGTTCAGTATCCGTTGCCGCTGTCTCATTTTCGGGTGTAATTCAAATCTCCTGCAACTGAAAGATGAAGATACAGTTACGCGTTTATGCAGTCTAGTTCTAAAAGAACTAGACTTGATGTAAACATCGCTCAGACAGAATGTTCGCACTTTCATTTAAACAACCTAATGCTTAGCAAAAAGTCTAATACTTGCATATTCACGCAAGAAAAATATATTAAAAACAAACAAAAGCCTTTAGTCTCAATAAGAAGCCTAAAAGTTTCGTCAAAGACCGGCCGTCAAACATTCAGCGGGGAATGGCAAATAAATAAGTCCCCTGTTTTTCGAAAGGTACGCTGTCTGAGTACTTTAGATATTAACCAAGTTTACAACCCTATAATTAAGCATTGACGATTTTCGCCAAAGCTGGCTTGCTACTCTCCAACAGTCACGATTTATTGACAGAATTTTCTTACCTGTAGATATATATTCGAAAAATCTTATATTTCTCGAATATACATCTACAGTATATTCGACAAATAAAAGATTTATTGAATATACAGTAAAAGTATTTACTGTGAGGAGGTAATTGCCCCTCACAGTAAATACTTTTCTCTTACCGTTCCAAAATTCGTGCTGTCTTTTTGATTGTTACTATTCACCTGACAAGATGGAGCGTCTTGTAACGAGGAACAAGTCCTTGTCGCAAGTTTGATTGAAAGAGCCAGCACGGCGAAACGAGAACTGTACGTGGGGATTTGTTGGCTTATGACTTGTGCAGTCTTTTTTGCACAGTTTTAGAGCTCAAACATGCGTGCAAAATAGAACTCCCTGTTTGTATAGTTCTTCCTTTGCCACTTAGAAGCGAGTGCTCGACCATTCTAAGGGACCTATCATTCGAGCAATGAAGTTTTAACTAGCAATTCGAATACATGAACAAAATGATATATGAAAGTTCCCCCATGATTCAAATTGTTCATAGAAGTATTTGTAAAGCTGTTCGCAGATTATCTGGAGTTTTCACATACTGATATCATCAACGCCTGCGTGAAGAACTTGTACTTTCCATCGATTCGGACGCTCGCGCGCACCAGAAATGAGCCATCAGCTGCGGAAGATAACCTCAAACTGCTTGGTCCTCCTGTTCCACTGGAAACTTGTTAATCTGAGACCAAACGTCTACGAGGAATCGAAGACTGGCTGAGAGATCCAGGCTTGTATAAGTAAACCTTATTCTTGTTTTGTTGGGCTTAATTAAAGTATTCTTTGATTTTTTTACCATCTACTTATCTTCCGGCTGGCTATTATCATTACATGTTCGCGCCATGCACAGGATTCTATGACCATCCATTTACTGCTATTCCTCACAGAAACACTGCTATTTGCTAAGGAAGGAATCGCCCTTAATTTCCCTCACTTTCTTTTTCAAACGGATTTTAAAATTCACTTTTAAACTCACAATTTAATGATGATTTTTTGTTGTCCTGGCTTAGGAACTTACCGCCTATTTTTCCACTCATACCCTTAGTCTTCCTAGACTAACGACGTTACCTGGATGGCATGTTAGAAGCGTACTTAATTTTACTTTTATGATGTCTCAAACGCCATGACTGTGCAAAAGTCGGGTTATTTGATGTTTTTTTTCTCTACTAAGAAGCAATTAATCAATAGATCTTTTTATGGCAAGACGTCAACAAGGCTAGGGAGTCTAAAACCATTATCAGGCAGTTTATATGACGCGTGTTGAAGATTACGCATGCAATTTCGGCTAACAGACTTTGAATCGTAGGTATTTCATTTTGAACAATTATGCTAGAGTGGAAAAGTTCAGGAAAGGTTTAGCAAGCCAAACCGGTGGCCTTCAAACATTCCACGGTATAGTAATTCGTATGGAAAGTGCTCTGATACCGGTGTGAGAACAATTTAAATCTTCTTGTCCTTTTCTATTCCTTTCCCTCGTACTGATAAACACAGTGTAGATTTTTCTAAATGTTAAAAATCACTGGTTTACTTTGTGAGCAAGGTTTAAAACAAAGGCGCCTTATGAGTTAATACCTCTATCACGATACAATACTATACAGCCACAAACAGACCGATTAATTAAAACGTGAATTGATTATGCCCTGTTTTCAAGACTTTTCAGGAGCTGGTTATTAAGATATCTTTGATAAAGCTTCCAGTACGAGTGAAATAAATGGATTCAAAGCTTGAGTAGATCCAAGAGTCTGGTTTCCTCTCGTTGGAATTTTTCTTTTAGCATCTTCAAATGAACTATACGGTACGTTTTAACCACAGGCGGTTTTAAGAGACGAGGACTATTGCCAACGGTTGTTGATTGAACAAATCTCCTTTGCAGAACATGGACTTACTTTATTCTCAGCAGCAATTTTAAAGAAGAGTGCGGATTTTCAAAACTGAAGCATGCTAATAATTATCACAGAGGAAGGAACCAGAAAGTACATATAAATTGCCGGAGGGTATACCAATCGAGACCTATATTTCTCAAACAGAGTTGGATAATATCTGACTTGATTGCAGAGAAAGTTGTAAGCGTCCCAAAAAAAAGGTTTACTGAGTGTTCTCCTTCCGCACTTTCCAGACTGGGAAACATGCCAAGAAAAATAATACTTTATGGTCACTACTTTTAAGAAACTCTGGACTCTTGCGATTTATGCATTTCAGCTCGTTGTGCTTCATTATACAGGCAAAACATCGATTGAGGTAATATGTATTGTACTTGTGCAGTCATCAAACTACTTCAGTGAACGTGATATGAATATATATTTATAATCATGATGGAAGAAAAAAAAAACACTTGACTCCATAACTATTGAATCATGATCCATTTTTTCCTACCATGTAAGATGTGTCGACAACTTTCAATTCCAGAGCCCTCTGGCACTTTGAATTTCTGTCCTTCGGAATTTCTTAGCCAGTAAATGAGCGAGACTTTTGCAGTTGATATTCAAAAAATGCTGGAGCATCTACATGGGACCAATCGTACTAATCTAACCTATATGCGCAGCACAATTCATTCAGAATGATCTTCTTTCCTTTGCACCTCCGTTATTATGTTGGTTAGTGGGCAAATTAATAATACCTTATCCGAGTTTCACTCTTCGGGATAATCGTTGTGGTCATAGAAGAAGCAAATTTTTACTTTATCCATTTTGCATGTATGTGACTGCAAAAAATACAAATGAACTTTCTAACTATACGTTTAAAAGCCAATTCACAACTTTGTTCAGATAATCTTTTTGCCTTGATCAAAAGCTTTCGGAAAGCTTCGAACGAGTAATAGGTACCAATTTTCTGTGCACACAACCACATTTAAGATAAAATTTTAATTTTCAGCGCAAATTTCCGGGAGTGGATTCAGGTCAACATAGCATAAACGTGCATGTATGATCTGCAAAGAAGACATCGCTTGCTGGCGGGCATGTTTTTGAAACAGTGTTGCCTAAGAGTTCAAGGTCGAGTGCAAGTTTGTTTTCGTAGAATTTTTTAGAAGGTTTTTGTTCGAATTATCACATTCCTAGACGTTCCAAGAGGCCAATTACGTAGGAATTTATACTCAAGGGATGCTTTTATGGACATGGTTAAGTCATTTGGTACAAGATTCGAAGTAACTACGTGACTAAATCTGTATCCAACCAAACTGCACCGTTTTCGGGTGGATTGCGTACAGCTCGTTGGATGTTAAGATGCGAAGAAGAGAACGAATATTTTGCGCAGTAGGAAATATATTCATAGACCTCTGCCGGCATCATAATGCTTCATTTGCTCTCCTGTTTTTGATGGAAGTAGTGGAACTGTCAGCTGCAGATGTTGGAGTTATATTTTTCGTTGCGCAATTAGTTGATGCGTTCTTCGCATCAATTTCTGGTTACCTTGCTGATAGGGTTGAGCTACCTTTTCTTTCAAAGAAACTCGGCCGACGAAAATCTTGGCACCTTTTGGCAACAGTATTGTTGTCCGTAGTCGTCCCTCTTTACGCCAACCGCTGTTATCCCTGTATTGGTAATCATCATAGCTGGCTTCCAATCGTCTATTACGGCTTCTTGAATTCTATTTATGGCATATTTGTCATCATTATGGAAGTAAATCATTCGTCTTTCATCGCTACTGTAGCGGAGTCCGTTGAGGAATATATAGCTATAAGCACCTTGAGGTTTGTTATAGACAACTTTCTTTGAAACTCATAGTCTGTATGGCTCTCATATATGTGTTTTATGTAGCTTTACAAATTTCTCTCTTCACTCTCTCGCCTAGGATGTTCTCCTGTAAACTAATTTTGGCTTTCTTCGATGTAATTCAAATAAATTTGTAACTCATGCATGCGAATTATCCTCAAAATTATCATATAATTATGGGAGCTATAAGGTAGACAAAGAGAATAAAGCAGTTCAGGTTATTGGATTGGCAATTCGGTCATTTTACAATTAAGTGGGACATAATGTTTACTTTTTCGTAATATGATGAAAGCACGTGCAATGGGAGGCCATATTTCCCAGGTTCATTTTGCAAGGATAACGTTATTGGCACTAAAGAACAATTTCTCATATTCTTGTATTTTATCTGTTTACAAGGACAATGTTCAGCTTCCTAAGTGGCATTCTCGTTTACACAGTCGCTTGGTGCCTTCTCGGACAAGACAAAGGCGATAATTTGGGACCTCACAGCCTTCCAGAGTTTCTGGTAAGTAGCAGCAACCCATAAACGCTTAGGGGTCATAATATACTCAACTCTCTATTGACGTTAAGTAAATGTAAAGGGGAGATATGAGCAATTGCAAAAATAGTTCCCTGGGCAGCTTGTTTGCTCTTTGCTGTGCTTGCCTCTTGTATCTAGTTTTTCGTCCGTCAAATTACCAGTTACCTTCTTCTAATTTGCCTATTGATTTTTTCTTTCTTTAACAGTACCTTGCGTGCATTCTTAGTGGAACAGGAGTCTTCTTTGCAGCTTTTTTTCATCTTGGTTTAAAGGAACCTCAAACACGAGTAAGAAGAAAGAGCACCGTAAAGGGTCTTTTGGTAAGAATAGAAGATATTTTAGATATCTTGAATTTTGTTGAAGTGCTGCATGGGTAAATACTTCGTTTGCTTCCTAATTCCAGGAAACTTCTGATGGCTAATTGCGGCACCTTTATGCGTGTTCCTTAATTCTTCCTGAATTTTATGCACGAAGCTCGTTTCCTATAGATTTTCTGGTCATATAATTATGTCGTTTCCATGTGTATATGTACGACAACATTTTTCCGAGATTTCAGACTACCTAGATTTAGATGTAGATTATAGATGTAAAAATGTCCAATGGTCGACAGCAGATAAAAGGTGCAATCTACGCATGTCTTGCAAATTTTATTTCATACTGTCCTATTTCTCTTAATTTTTAGAATTCTCCTGGAATATTCCTGACTGACTTTGGACCCGAAAATGGTGGTAAGTCCATGAATTGCGCA